GAGCTTAAACGAAAAAACTTTGTACAACAGTTTGTACATCAATCCATTAAGTGAATTTTGAGAAAAAAATTGAAACCAATCGAACAAGAGTGATAAGTAGTAATCCGAGTTAAAACGACAAAAAAATTAGTACACATCAAAGTGCATACCTGAAACAAATCAAAGTCATTAGTGAGAGCAATAAGTGCACAAAAATAATTAATTTAAGACTTGAAGGAAGTTAAAAAAAAATTGCAATTAAACTTACTAGTTGTAACAGGAAAAGCCTAGGCAAAACATTAAACTTAACAAAAACTGCAAGGAATTTTAACACTTAAAAAAACAACAAATTGGCTCACAGAACTTTGACCAAAAAAAACTGCTAAAACAAAACAAAAACAAGGCCTTGACACATTGCTTACAAAAAGCATTCCCTAAAAAATTGCNAGCATTACCTAACAAAAATTGCTGAACAATATACAATTAACAAACTCAGCATCAACAATTTGTATAAAACAACATAACACAAAACAATAAAAAATCATAACAAACGTTGTGACACCTTGAGATGTACAATGAGGTGTACATTTATACCTTACTTTTGCAAAGAGAATTCACACTCTGCAAAAATCCAAAAAAATTTGTATGTAATAAGAGTGACTTATGACATACTAGAAAAGGAAAAAAAATTATACTGTACAGAACTACAGGGTCGAAAAACAAAAAAATTGGCATTCGAAATCAGACATCATTAATTAATTACAACTATGTGTGTAAGTAATTTAAAAATACAAAAATTAACATGAAATATTTGTTAAAAAAATTTGCAATCAGTTAGACATGAACAACCAAAATCAAACACGAACCCATAGTTACAAGGTTGTAGAGTCGCAAAAAGGAGGGCACTGCTCATCATCCACCAAAAGAAACCATATCACTATTTGAATACCTCATTCAATTAAAAAAAACAGTTAGAACCATTGACAAAATTAGTTACAAGAACTGGATATCACAAAAAATTTTACCAAAAATTTAACCAAAAATCACTGGTATTGCCTGACAAGTACTACAGGATCCCGATGTTCCGCGGATATGACGGCCAGCATCATATACACCGATACCCAAATAACACCCATCACACATATCAATGTTACATTCAAACAAATTTTATTAGAAAAAAATTATTTACTTCTTAAATTGTAAGGACAAGCCTTAGTGAGAGTGATATCACTATCAATTACACTATGGGAGGTATCCAAAGAGGGATGAAAAAGCAAATTTTGCCTCCTATGAGGACATAGACGTAAGCGGTCTATATGAACAGTTAGTTTAGGTGCCTTTGTCTTGTCCAAAAGTTGGATTACATAATCCACATCATTAAATTTTGACAAAATAGTAAACGGACCATCAAATTTAGGTTTAAACACATTAGTATGTTTTAAGTAGACAATATCACCAATATTTAGTGATCTTAATTTTGCTTTCGCACCTTGTCTCGAATTTTGTTTGACTTGTGCTCGTTCAGAATTATGGTAAGCATTTTCATATGCAATATTGAGCTCATTTAAGGTCTCCAATAAATAGTGAGATTTATCCAAATGTATTGGTTCAATACTAGTTTCAAAACAATCAAAAATTAAGGCCAAATTACGACCAAAATGAAGTAAGTTAGGGGTGAATTTGGTTGAAGAGTGAATTGAACCATTGTATATATTTTGGTGAATTAATAAGCTGGTTGCAAATGACACACCTTTCTTATGTAAAGTTAAAACAGAAGACTTAATAGCTTGATTAATGCGTTCACTCATTCCATTACTTTGAGGATGAGCAGCACTGCTATGGGCTAATTTTATGCCTAACTTTTTATTGATTAATTCAAAAACCTCAGCTTTAAACTGAGTGCCTAGATCTGTTAATAGGTATAACATTCTACCATAATGAGTAATATAATTCATTAAATGTTTAGAAACAGTCTCAGTGGTTAAATTGACTAGTTGGTTTAAAATTACATGTCTAGAGAAATGATCTATGAAAGTTAAAATATATCCACAATTCTTAATGGGTCCTACAATGTCCATTGAGACAAATTGTCCAGGCCTCTGAGGTAGCCACATTGATTTTAAAGGAGCAGGCTTGCTCGCAGACTGTTTATGTTTAATACATAATTCACAAGTCTTAACATACTTACAGGTATCACTGTAACAACTTTTCCAAAAATATCTTTTAGACACAAGCTCATACGTCTTTTGAATACCAGAATGGGAAACATGACAAATATTTAACACTTTAGATTTTAATGAATTTGGAACTACAATTCTGTGTTTATGAGGAAAAACCTCAGTGGCATACATTAATATACCATCATTTAAAAAGAAATGTCTTAGATTGATTAATTAACGTGGGATTGTTTAAAAGAGAAATAATTTCCTGAATATTTTGATCTTTACATTGTTCAGATTTAAATGTGTCTAAAGAAATTTCAAGAGGGGAGTCATTATTAGTTGAAGCATGAATTACATGGTCTTCATTTATATCAGTGAAAGGTAAAATTAGTTCAGAATCATTACTATTTAAAGCAGGTTGACAATAATTAGGATCAGGAGAACGACTAAACCAGTCGGCTAACACATTCTCATGACCAGGTATATGTATAAACTCAAAAGTATATTCACTTAAAGCAAGCAACCAACGTGTGATAATATCAGCAGGTGATGTAACCTTGCGATAATGTTTTAGGGGTTTACTATCACTCAGAATTGTAAAATTTCTATTATAGAGGTAAGATTTAAATGCTGTAACACCCTTAAAAATTGCATATAGCTCCAATTTGATGGCGGGATAGTTTTTCTCAGACTTGGACAAAGCCTTACTAAAAAAAGAGACAGGGCGAAGAGATCCTTCACGCTCCTGCATCAAAACTGCTGAAATGCCTAATTTGCTCGCATCAGTATTTAGGAAAAACGGTTTACTGAAATCGGGTAACTGAACAAAAGGTTTCGAAGAAAATGCATTCTGTAATGCATCAAATGCCCGCTGTTGTTCATCATTCCATTTAAATTTAGATTGCTTTGTAGCAACTTTAGTCAACACAGCAATTAATTGGGCGAAATTTGGAATTAAATGGCGATAAAAGCCACACACACGTATAAACTTCTTAACCTGTTTGGCATTACAAATTCATCTAATTCTTGTTTAATGTCATTCCTTAAAGCATATGGAATTTCAAATGGTAAGGTTTTTATTGCATTGTCATTTTTCAATGTTAAAGAGGGAACCACCCGATCAATACATCCTAAAGTTTTTATGGTTTTAGAAAATGCAGCAAAATTTTCCAATAAAACGTTTTGAAGAATTAATTTTTGATCAGTGTCTAAATGTGCTAAATCAAAATCAGTAGATTTTAGTTCATCTTTTCTTAAATTTAAAATATCCTGAGAAGCAGTAATTAAATTACACTGTTCAATATTAGTACAATCATTTAAATCTACATTATTACCATCATTACTATTTTGGACAACAAAATTACAAATAATATAACCTATATTCAAGCCTTTATTTAAATGAACAGTGTTATCAGAATTATTTTGGATTATTGTATCAAAAGAATTATTGTCAACAACATTAATAGAGGGATGAATTACAATATTTGAATTATAAGTAGGTGTGAAATACACTTCTTTATTTGTTTGTTTACCACAAGAATTAATTCTTAAATGGGCAATGGCAGTCTCGCCTGGCTCAATTGTGAGTTTATTTTTTAAAACTGCATCAATCTGTTCATTATTGGTATGATTAGAAGCTATCTTATCAAAATTATTTAAAGGAATACAAAAATTACTAAATTGCGCAGACTCATCTTTGTAGTTTATAAGAACATTATGTGTTCTTAGAAAATCAAAACCTAAAATTCCCTGAAAGGTATCACTCTTAATATCTGCAATAAAAAATTGATGACGAAAAAAATTATTATGGATTTTAAAGTAGTATCCAGTAGAAAATTTACATTAACATTTTTAAAGTTAGATGCAATTGTAGGAAGATTAATTTCATGTGAAACAATATTTATGTGCTCAATATTCTCTTTATAGTCACAGTTAGTCAAAAACTCCCTAATGGTTACATTTGAATTATGCATAGATTTTGACATGAACTAATTTATATCAAAAATTTTGGATGGTTTGTTGGATGAGAAGACAGGGCCATCCCCTACTGCCTCCTGCGAGAGTTTAAAGGATTGTTACCTCTATAATTAGTATTATTATTAACCCTCGGTCTAAATTGTTCATTTTGACTAGGAATCGGTGGTGGTGGATACTGCGGTGCAGTGAACCTGGGAGAAACCATGGGGAACTGTGGCGGAAAAGAATGCATCGCCAATGGCCCGAATGAATTTTGTCTTAAATGTCTGAGATACGTTCGACACACACTCATGATATGCCCAGACCTATTACAGAAAACACAGTGAAGGTTTGGAGTTGGTCGAGGTTGTTCATGTCCAACCCGATCCTGGTTCTGTACAGGGTGAAGTAAAAGGGGACATAATTTAGTGCTGTGGGGTTTNTTATTTTTTAAAACTACATCAATCTGTTCCTTATTGGTATGATTAGAAGTTAACTTATCAAAATTATTTAAAGGAATACAAAAATTACTAAATTGCGCCAACTCGTCTTGGAAGTTAATAAGAACATTATGTGTTCTTAGAAAATCAAAACCTAGAATTCCCTGAAAGGTATCACTCCTAATATCTGCAATAAAAAATTGATGACGAAAAAAATTATTATGGATTTTAAATGAAATTTCAGCACAAGCCGAGAATTGAAGCTGAGAATTAACTGTTCTTATTTGGACTTTTCTTGATAAGAATTTTACTTTATTATGAGCCCTAATTGCATTGAAAGTATCTAANCTTGATAAGAATTTAACTTTATTATGAGCCCTGATTGCATTGAAAGTATCTAATGTCAATAATGAGACTGACGACCCACTATCGAGTAGAAAATTTACCTAAACATTTTTAAAGTTAGATGCAATTGTAGGAAGATTAATATCATGTGAAACAATATTTATGTGCTCAGTATTCTCTTTATAGTCACAGTTAGTCAAAAACTCCCTAATAGTAACATTTGAATTACGCATCGATTTTGACATAAACTCATTTATAACAGCCCAATGGCTAACATGCCTATGAATTATACCGGCTTCCACTAATTCATCTAATTCTTGTTTAATGTCATCCCTTAAAGCATATGGAAATTCAAATGGTAAGGTTTTTATTGCATTGTCATTTTTCAATGTTAAAGAGGGAACAACACGATCTGTACAACCAATGGTTTTAATAGTTTTCGAAAAAGCAGCAAAATTTTCTAATAAAATGTTTTGAAGAATTAATTTTTGATCAGTGTCTAAATGTGCTAAATCAAAATCAGTAGATTTTAGTTCCTCTTTCCTTAACTTTAAAATTTCTTGCGAAGCAGTAATTAAATTACACTGTTCTAGATGAGTACAATCGTTTAAATTTACATTATTACCATCATTACTATTTTGGACAACAAAATTACAAATAATATTACCTATATTCAAGCCTTTATTTAAATGAACAGTGTTATCAGAATTATTTTGGATTATTGTATCAAAAGAATTATTGTCAACAATATTAATAGAGGGATGAATTACAATATTTGAATTATAAGTAGGTGTGAAATACACTTCTTTATTTGTTTGTTTATCAAAAGAATTAATTCTTAAATGGACAATAGCAGTCTCGCCTGGCTCAATTGTGAGTTTATTTTTCAAAACTACATCAATCTGTTCATTATTGTTATCATTACAAGTTAATTCATGAGAATTATTTAAGGGAATTCTAAAATTACTAAATTGTGCACATTCCTGTTTATAATTGATTAGAACATTATGCTTTCTTAAGAAATCATAACCGAGAATGCCTTGAAAGGTATTACTCCTAATATCTGCTACAAAAAATTGGTGTCTAAAAAACTGGTTATTGATCTTAAATGAAATTTCAGCACAAGCTGTAAATTGAAGTTGAGAGTTGACAGTCCTAATTTGGACCTTTCTTGATAAAAATTTTACTTTGTTATTAGTCCTGATTCTATTGAAAGTATCTAGAGTCAACAATGACACTGACGAACCACTGTCCAGCAAGAAATTAACTTTAACGTTACTAAAATTAGATGCAATGGTTGGAAGACTAATCTCATCTGACACAATATTTATGTGCTCAGAATGTTCTTTATAGTCACAATTAGTCAAAAACTCCCGAATGGTTACATTTGAATTATGCATAGATTTTGACATGAACTCATTTATATCAAAAATTTTGGATGGTTTGGTGGATGAGAAGACAGGGCCATCCCTTACTGCCTCCTGCGAGAGTTTAAAGGATTGTTACCTCTATAATTAGTACTATTAACCCTCGGTCTAAATTGTTCATTTTGACTAGGAATCGGTGGCGGTGGATACTGCGGTGCAGTGAACCTGGGAGAAACCATGGGGAAGTGTGGCGGAAAAGAATGCATCGCCATGTTTGGGCCCATTGAATTTTGTCTTAACTGTCTGAGATACGTTCTACAGACACTCATCATATGTCCAGACCTATTACAGAAGGCACAGGTAAGATTTGGAGTTGGGCGAGGTTGTTCATGTCCAACCCGATCCTGGTTCTGTACAGGGTGAGCTAAAAGGGGACATAATTTAGTGTTGTGTGGTTCCTGACATATATTACAATTAGACTGCATAGTCTCAATTCTTGTTGTCAGCATTTCGAGTTGTTTTGAAATTAAGGTGAGCTGATCAGGTGCAGCAGAAGCACACTGAGTCACCGCATGAGCTGCGACTAAAGGAGTAGCCGATCCAGCTAATGATTGTTGAATTGTCACAATATGATTGGCCCTTTTGACCATCTCGCGGTAATCTTGTATTCCCTCAATGAGAATAGTCTCCTTAAGGTGCAAAGGGATTGCAGATAAGAACTGCATGGCTTTTATCCGAGACAAAGCAGTTTGGTCATTTATAAAGTTATATGCCTTATGGGCAAGAGAATCTATCCTATATTCTAAATTTTTGATAGTTTCAGAGGGCAAAAGGCTGATTGCCTGAAATTTTGCCAAGTCAGCCGAGGAAGAATCTTCTTGTTTGAAAAAATTTTGAAGCAGCTGACATGCATCCTCGAACTTTGTGACCACCCTACATGGAGGTGAATTCTGAAAAAAAGTGAGAGCAGCCCCAGACAATTTTGATTTTAATAAGTATAATGCAGCCGGATTATCAAATTGATTTAATTTTACTAGATCTTTAATTTGGTTCAGGAACCACTCTACATTCTGAGAATTTCCAGAAAATTCTGGACTATTGAAATTGAATTTAGGGGTTTGCCTATTGGCCTCTATGTTATTTACGTTGTCAGGCATAATTATTGAATTAGAATAAGTTCTACTGCGGGTTTGAATTGGGGTCATCTACCACGAATCTTGGGTATTGATAGTATCATTGGAAAAAAAAACACTTACATAATAATATAGTATAAAATTACCATTACTAGAAAAATACCATATATTTTAAAATTAAATTTTAAGAAAAATTGTATACAACAAACCATAATTAAAAATTTACCATAATTAAAAGGAACATATTATATGACTCAAATTATTACCTTGAATTATCTATCCATATGAAATATCTTGAAAGACAAGTACTAATAATACTGACAATTACAGATTTTATGAAGTATTAACAAATACACATGCAGATACTATTAAGTTAACACTATTAAAAAAATTTCAAAAAATACTCATTGAGCTTGTGAAAAAAACTATTTTACCATAACTTTATATGAACTACTCAAATATTTTAACTCATACCTGAAAAGAAATTTTATCAATAAAACAAACCCTAATTATCAATTATACATAATACTGATTGGATTTAACAAAATTAATACTCTATCTGATTTTTCTTTAAATAATGCATTTCTTGGAAATGAATTCATTAAATGTAAACCTTAAATTGTGAAAAAAAAATTTACCAAAATTTTAAATTACAGAAAATTAGAACGTGTCTGAACAACATTCTTAGTAAAATCTAAAATCAGCTGTTAAAAGTATAAACAATTACTAAACCATTATGTGACATGAGTTATATTACAAGGTAAACTATTCAAAGCAACACAAAAACATTAATCTATTACTGAAAATTATGAAAATCAATCAAAAATTATTTACTGAAAATTATGAAAATCAATCAAAAGTTATTTACTGAAAATTATCAATTTGTCATTCAAGCAAAGAAATTGTAGTGAATAATCAAAACAAGCTATTAATTGTTGCATCAACCAGATTAAATACATTATTTATACAATTAAAATTATATCATTGAATATTGAATATATTCAACTATATAATTATATTATATATATTGAATATTGACTACACCTTGAAGTTACAATTTCATTAACTATTAAATTTTGTTGCATATTATATAAACTTTAAATCATTTTTTTAAAAAAAATAAAAAAATTTGATAAACAAGTACCACAAAAATTCGACTGGTCATCGGCACCAGAATATTACATTACATACACACTATTAAGATGAAAAAATACAAAATGAAAAGGCAAATTCTTTCGCTATGGATGTACTAATTTTTGAATGTTCTAATTTATGATGTCCCGTCAATTGTTCTATTATTTACTATGGAACGAAGGAAAAAAACATACCTGTGGATGAGCACCATCGCCATACGACACATCAGTAAATCCAGCGTTTGCACAGAACTTCTGTATTAAGGCAAGTAGACAAAAAAATCACACTTGTGTTTCACTAAAAACATGGTCTTTATTTTTGTTGTCGAGCATCAAAAGAAAATTCCATTTTCTACTGGTATTTTTGGGAGCATTCCGTTAGTTGTTGATTTTTTTTTCTCATCACTTTAGGTGAGTGGAACTGGAGACAGCTAAATCAGTTGCTAAACCATCAGGATGCATGGGATTCGGGATTCCCATTTTTTGAAATGAAAGTTCCCATTATTTTTAGAACCAAGGAAGAAACAAAACAAGGCCATATCGAAGAAAAAAATCACTGCTGAGCCGGACCGCCAAAAGCACCCATGGGGGGAAGTGGAAGAAAAAAATGTGTAACATCTCCGNGGGGGTGGAAGAAAAGAATGTGTAACATCTCCGTCTCTCAAGGAGAGAAGGGGAAAAAATTAAAAATCCCTGTTAAAGGATCGTAGATTTTGGATGCTACCAAGTTATCGAATGCTGGTCGCTCCCAGAAATGGGCGGTATTTAAAGAAATNCGCCAAAAGCACCCATGGGGGGAAGTGGAAGAAAAAAATGTGTAACATCTCCGTCTCTCAAGGAGAGGAGGGGAAAAAATTAAAAATCCCTGTTAAAGGATCGTAGATTTTGGATGCTACCAAGTTATCGAATGCTGGTCGCTCCCAGAAATGGGCGGTATTTAAAGAAATAGCTAGAAGTGGAAGTTAAGCTCCCTAAAATGCAACATTAAAATTGCTTAAGGAGAGAATTGAAGTGAGTTGACTAACCCCTTAAATTTAAGCATAATTAAACACTAACGGTGACCGTACAGTAACTAAACCATGTGCTGACATCAAAGGCCGCCGAAGGTCACAAGCGTGAAGGTCGGCAGACAGTGAGGCGTCACAGTAGAGGGTTCAGGGGTGTCGGCCTAATTTCTAGGTCACAATCCCAACAGAAAAATTAAGATTTGGTGACTCAATGTCACAAATGCTCTCTCTGGTTATTTCAGTTTCCGTTTTTAAAAGCGCTATATGTTGAGTCACATCAGCTAGATTTGGCATGTGACATTTTTAGCGGCAATCATTGGTCGATTTTCTAGCGTTGCCATTCGGGGAGTTGTAATGAGGCTTTTTTTGTCGCCGTGTAAGAGAAATATATATATAGATACCATTTACTAATCTTTGGAGGGGGCCGTAGCACCAATATTATCACACATTTCAATGATGGCAACCTTCAATTCATCCACAGACTGTCTGTCTTTGTCAAATATAGTTCTACTGAGTTTTCTGAAAATTTAAATCATAGGCGAGGAAATGCCGTTTTATGACCTTACTACCCATAAAACGTACCTGTGAAGATTTTGCAACGTGAATGAAGGCGTTGCTCTACTGGAAAATCCGACTTAGGTCACTAGCTATCGCTACAAATTGACAGTTTTTTTTGTGGCATGTCAATAGAAAGCAAAGTCATTTTAAGTAATCCAGATTTTTTTCTTTTCTGCTTTCTTCCGCCTGTGGATTGCTTTTAACATGGAACATGATTTAGATCTTTTATTTTTCAAACAGCTTATACAATATAAAACGCGAAACAGTAGATGAGAAAAAAAAGAGGAAACTGAAAGGTGGAGGCAGAACATAGACAAGTAGGTGGAGGTTCATAAACGGTTTTGGAAGGCTTTGGTTATGGAGGTAAACTTAATTTGACTTTTTCCCCTATCTACCTAACATGGAGGCTATCGAACAAAAAAAATTACTAAAACCCCATTTAATATTAAACACAACTAGGGACCAAAGTTGGATTTTCCAGCAAAGCACTTTGCAAAATCTTCACAGATATGATTTCTGTCTAGCAGGGTGCATGCCATAGAATGACCTGCTCTCTCTCTGATCTCAATCCCCAAGGAAGCATGAAGGGGCATCTTCAAGCCCAAAGTTTGGCAATGTCAATCTGTGGGGCAGAATTGAAAGCCGCCACTGTTGAAACTAGAGATAATATTGATGCTACTGACTTTTAGGGATTCATATATAATATGAAACATTATACATTTCAAATCATATATGAATATAGCGGGTATAATGACACAGTTTTACTCGGTACTTTATTTCATGCTTTTTAACTTATACCATATTTCTTCACGTTCATGTGAGATAAAAAGTGAGTTATTGCTTAAAAATTTGTATTTGTATAGAGTTTCTGAATATATATATGTTTCAAGTTTTCATTGGTTTTCTTTGCAATTAGTTACGACGCAAAATCAAAGTTGCTTTATATCAGTGGAGCATACTGTGTTTCAAATCTTAATATTCTTATATTTGAAGCTTAAATATGATTTTGGTAGATAAAAATGATGTAAAAAGGGCTAACACATACTTCTGAAATTTAGAGAAGAACAATTTCATATTTTACTAAAATATTTTGTCACACATATTGCAAATTGGAAATTAAAGCATAACATTTGTTGTTTAGAAATCATCAAACATTTCTTGAGTAGAACGTTGTTTGGTTTATGTGAATTATCCCCTTTCCCTCTTAAATTCTTCAAATAGATTGTTAAAAATACTCTTTTGCAATAACAGATCTATTGTATTGACGAAAAATGTCAGTAAAAAAAGTATCATCGCTTTATGCTGTGAATCACTATATTTAAGGGATAAAAAAATCTTACGTCTAAGACGAATGAGAGAGTTTAAACATTAGCAACATAATAATAAGACAAAATATTTAGCATTTTAAAAATGCATTACATAAACATAGAGCTGTATATGCATCGTTGAATAATTAATACTTTGTGGTGAGCAAAAAGTAGCCTATGAAACAATTAAGTAGCAGAATCGAAGTGTTAGTGTCTAAGTACAAAAGTGGCAGAGTCTTTGCACAAGAAAACACATCGTTGTCCAATGAGAAAAATGTTTCATTTATGGTTTTTCAAGGATGTATCACCAAGAAATAATAAAATAAAAAAGCCACTGTTTAAGTGCCTTACATTTGAAGCAAAGCTATAATTCTCAACTATATATGTCATACTCCCGTATCTTCAGAAAGAAAAATATCGAAAATAGTTTAAAAGTTGTTAATTTTAAAAAAAAAATTAACAATTTGTTGGCATTTTTCTGCCGAGATGAAAATTCTAAAAATCATTGCTTTATTCTCATTTTTTGCAAATTTTTATAATTAGATATTACAGTTTGGAGTAAGTTTTTTAGTATTAAAAAATTAGCGCTTTAAATTTTCCTAAAACGCTTTTCAATTTTCCAAAACTGTGGTTTTCCTTCATATTGACGCTTTGCGCCATTTTCATAATAAACATAGAGGGTGCTGGCTAAAGATAGGTAAAACGTGACCTAACAATCATGAGTAACTGTTGCAAACTCACAACAATTATGAAAATAACACATTATTGGCAAAAAAACATAATACATGCCATTTCAGAGCCTTTGAAAAACAGCTTTAAGCTAGCAAGTTACTTACCTACCTCTTTACTAAAACTAAATATCCCAATACTTTGCAGAGTTATGTATGTGTTTTATTATCATTATTATTTCAGAGGGTCTAAATAAAAAGAGTGGCGACAAAAGAGGCGATTTCTGGTCAAATTCTATTATATACCGTCTGTCTAACAAAATAACTATCCCTCTAGTTGCCTAGAGAACCATCAGGGAATATGGTTGCAACTTTTAACTTCTTAAAAAGTGTTTTAATTTGTTTTCATAGCAGCAGACAGCCCCAGAATCTGAGACGAGAGGGTTTTTTTAGTTAGACTCAGACAGCAACCTCTATGAATACCCTTAAATATACCATGAAAACTTTTTTTACTTAAGCACTTCATATTATCTACTTATAGTCTTTAGTATCTAGATAACTCTACAAGGTGCACCGGAATAAGTGTCAATAAACTAAAGTTTAAGTAATAAAAAAATATTCCTAAATATTTTTTGTTACATTTTACTATGCGACAATTTTAATTTAATTTAATTGAACAACACCCCACCCCCATTGGGGGTATTCGGGGAATTCTGAAGTCTGGAAGTACACGTCTGTATCTTATTAGTACAAGAAAACGAATAGATTGTGATGAACAAACATATATGGCAGTACTTTTACTTTCGTTACTTGTACCGCCGGTACAAGTAAAAAGTACGTACTTTTACTTGTACTTCGTTACTTTTTAAATTTAGTACTTTTACTTGTACTTTCGTTACTTTTTTAGGGAAAAAGTACAAGTATTTGTAACGGAAATGTCGAATGAAATCGTTACTTTTTTCTAAAACTCGGTAAGC